CACAGAGGTGAGAGAAGGGTTTCTTACGTTGTATGCTACCGGAGAAGTATGTTATGAAGCTCTTGGACAACTCCCCAAAGTTTTGGATCGACCCATCTGGGATGGTGTTGAACCAGTCTTGGGACGCTCCATCCAGGGTGGACAAGAACGCTCGGCACATGATGGCGTCCCCTGCCCCGATCATTACCATAGCAGCCTTGTACCTCGTCATGTGGACACGTGGGTCAGTGGCCCCCGTGTACTCCTTGATAGCGGGCAACCTAAAGTCCCTCGGCAAAGGTACGTCCATGATGCTTGGGGAGAATGGTGCTGTCATCCGTATCTCGGGTTCCGGCGACTGCTCCCGTGCCTCCACCCTTCTTGCTAACTCCTCGATTCTTCTCTGCAGCCTCTCGACCAGGGCTGACTCGTCAGGGTGCCGGCGCGGGGCCGGCTGCCGCTCCTCCATGTGTCGTCGTGGAGCTAGTTCATCAACGCATCGCTTTCCCGCCGAGTGCCGTCGCGGAGCCGGCTCTTCGACGCGTCGCTCCTCCAAGTGTCGACGTAAGGCCGACTCATCAACGTGTTGGCGTGGGATCGGCTCCTGAGACTCGCCCACCTCCTCTGTGGGTGATCTCTCAGCTTCTCTGTTTTCGTGTTGGCGAGGACCTCTGGTAAAGGATCCCTCGGCCCGTGATCCTAATCTTTGCCGCACGGGCGCCCTTTGTCCCAGTCGTTCTGGTGCAGATTGGGAAGGGCCTGGTTGTCGTCTGGCCGGTGCACTTCTTTGGGTCTCCACCCTTATTTCCTGGGGCCGCGGCGGGGGCACTTGACCTTGCAGTCCTACCGCCACCTGATTTAGCGCCGCCATCACTGCTTGCTGAATGACATCGGCAGTCGCCTGGAGGTTCATGACTTGGTTCGCCCCTCCATTGTGGGGTTGGTCTCGGAGGTCTCCTCTATTGTTGAGTTGGTCTCGAAGGCCTCCTCCATTGTTGAGTTGATCTCGAAGGTCCCCGGGCCTCCCGTTGTTGAGATGTTCTCGGAGGTCCCCTCCGCGATTGTTTGTGAGTAGGTCACGGAGGTCACCTGAGGCGTTGCCATTGTTCACGTTGCGAGAACCGTGGGAGCTGTGGGACGCCATTCTTTCAAGCTTGCTGTTGAAAGAGAAAAAAAAGTTGTGTTGTAGCCTGCTTGAGTATTGGACTCAGGCTCTCAATGAAAGCACCAATGACGGTAATAATGTTACCGGAAATATAATATAAGAGTAACGAATAAGAGAGTAACAATAGTTGTATTGCCTTTGTCTCAGTATAGAAAGTACAGTGTGTCCCCTGCTCAGCTGAGGGAAGTTCTATTTATGCTAGGTCCTAACGGTAACAACATGAAGAGACATCTTTGGGGAGCTGAGCTAACGGCAAGAATATGAAGAGTCATGAATGAGGCGTTGAGGCTTTAACTCTCTCTCATCAGTGGTGGCATCAAAGGTGGCTTCAATGACAATAAATGTGACACCTGTTGGATTCTAACCGTTGGAGTTCTGCCCGTTGGGTTCCCATGTGATGCTGAGTCAGATGCTCATTTGTGATCCGGGTCGGGTGCCAGCCCTATTATCCTGTGACCACCCTAAAATCGATCAGGCAAGAAAATTCACGTGTAAAAGGTTTAAAATGCCAAGAAGAAAATACGCCATTGATTTTCGATAGAAGGTGGCGACATGATTAATTCAATTTATTCTCTATTATGTCAACGTGAGATGATTGTGGTTTCATCTTTTTGGTTAATTTGATCCTTTATTTGTGCCACAAACAAAGTTGAATTTTTGTTCGCATGAACAGCTCAGTTGGTCATAGGAGTGAAGTTTGGCAAGAATGATCAGTGATCGATCAAGTTTCACCAGCGGCAGTGTGGGATCAATCTTTCAAAGTAAGAGGAGCTCCTTGTGCGCAGTAAACAAAGGTCTAGCCTATGTACTATAATTTAGCTAAGTTACCATGATTTTCATCCTCCTAGATACTCTGTCGGCTCGGAGTGTAGGGACCTTTAGAGTTCGGGATTCAAACTTTTTGAGAAGAACAAAGTTGAATTTTTCTCCGATTAGTTTAACAGTTTTTGCCATACATATACCTAATGTGATGAGAATAGGATTAATAATACAGTCGGCACAAAGACTTTTAAGTTGGTTACGTTAATAATAGAGTTAACATGAAGATGTATAACCTAAAGAGATTAGTTAATTAAGATTTGGTTTAAATTTTTATTTTTAAACTAATTTTTATGTTGAGGCTAGAATCTTTAGGTAGTACTTTACCCTAGTAGGCTTGCATCATACTATAATATAAATAGTGTCCATTGCATTTCAAAGAAGCAAAATAGAGTTGTTGATAAGCTTCCCAATGTTTCATACTACATTATCAAGTCTTCGGGTAATGCTTGTGTGGCCATACTCTTTCCATCATTTGCTTTTTGAAGATGTTTGTTTTAGGTGTTGCAAGAAGAGTGGTTGCTATCTAATTTTGTTGTTTAGGTTTCCGTTTCCCCCTCGTTTATATTTATAGGAAACCGTTCGGGTGAGAACGGGTTACTTAGGAGAGAACTAAGAACCACGCACAGTCGTTTACGTGTCTAGATTTAATGGATCAGAAATACTCATTTAAAAAAATAGGATGGCGTTTTCGTAAATAATTGAACATTGAAGTGCAAACAAATTATTGTGTAAAAAGTGCAAGTAACAGTTTTATATAGTGCACCTAAGTGCAAGTAAAATGTATTAAAAGTGCAATTATAAATGTATTAAAAGTGTAACAAATAATGTACACTGAGCATCAATATTAAGTGCATCTAATGCATGTCATCATTAGTTGCACCAAATGTTATCATTAAGTGCACCAATGTGAAGGACGTTATCATTAGGTGCACCAATGTTAACAAGCTAAGTTACTTGCACTATTTACTGAAAATGGTTACATTTTTAAGTGATTTTACTTGCACTTTTTACTTGCAAACTTACACCAGTTACTTGCACTTTTAACACGTTTTACTTGCACCAAAGTTAATTATTTACGAAAATGTCACCTCGTCATTTTTTAAAATTACATCTGATTCGTTAAATCTGGACACATGAACGGCTACGATTAGTTCTTAATTCTTTCTTGGGCACCCATTCTCACCTGAGCATGCCCCCATATATATATATATATATATATATATATATATATATATATATATATATATATATATATATATAATGTGTCAGTTGCACAACAAAATAATATTATTCTCACTTGAAAAGTGATATGAAAAATTTATAATTTGTAGGTATAATGTAATTAAAGAATATGTGCATGTACGAATGGCGAAAAATCCACTTGTTAAGATAATCATGAGCAATTTGCACATAAAAAAAAAAATCATTTTCACAACAAGATAATCCTCTTTTTTTTATTATTTAACCACGAAATTTAAATGTTAATGACATGATACATGGCCCTTTTTTTTTTTTAATTGGACCTATAACAAACCATAAAAACTTCAATAATTTTCAATAACCAAAACAAAAAAGAAACGAAAAAGTTAATGCCTTTTTCCCCAATGTTTTTACAATAAGATAACATCGATGGAGCTGGATCTCTCCCAAAAAGTTGCTTTCCAAAAAATTCTTGATCGACTAATGAGCTGAGATTACATATCCAAGATATTTCAGCCTATCTTTCCATATCTCAAATAACTTTTTTGTTGAGGTAGGCCATTCAAGGAGACAAGGATAGAAGTAGCTTTATTCTTATTCCTCAATTTCTATATTCCTTCATCTCTTTGTGCAAAAGTTCTTACTATACACTAATCCCATGCACTTTCTCAGCTCCACCAAATCAAGTCTTTTTTTGAGCCTTCATTGTCCCCTTCTTGCTTCTCTTATAACACCAAAAAGGGCTTTTTCAAAATGCAACATATTTTCTTATTTCATCACTATTGTGTTTACGACTTTCTAACTCTAATTTATCTGTGTGTTTTTTTTTTTTTTTGAATTTTTTAATATGAGAACTAAATTTGGTCGTAATCACTTACATCAATTCACAAATTTATGATCGTGAAACTATAATGTCTTTACCAATAGGTTAGATGAGATATTGAGAATTTCTTCCAAATTAACAGAGGTTGAGACCCATGAAGGAATGTCTTGCTACCAATCATTATACTATGGACTATACTGCACCTTGTAAGGTGGACGATTGACATAAAGTTCATTTTTAATATATTGAATGTTCGGACTATTGACATAAAGTTCATTTTTAGTATATTGAATGTTCATTTTTTTAAAGTTCATTATTAATGTACTGAAAGTTTATTATTTGGTACACTATCTAAAAATGAATTTTCAGTACATTAATAATAAACCTTCAATTTATTAAAAATCAATATTTATCAGTGGTCTACATTACAATGCATATGAACCATGATACATAATATAATATAATGTCTTGCCATTCTTGAGGTCTTACCCCGTATAAGCATGATTAGTGTCAGTGTCTTGAGGAAACTTTTGGTCAAACCAAAAAAAATTATAATGCCTTTGGTTGTTTAATGTAGCTTATAACAATAATCTATAACCTAAGCTTGATGAGATAATAGAGTACATTTGTTCCTCTTATGATTTTGTTACAAAAACCCAAACAAAATATTAAACCCAAGGCCCATTATAGAATTGACTATCTTCTTATACCCACCTTAAGAAAGATCCAATTTGTGTGTATTTTTAATTTTTGGGGTGGAAAAGTCTAAATATTTATGAGTGTATAATCTCAATTGATCACAGGGGTAAAGTTCGAAAACAATGATCCAAGATTAATCTCACTAGCGGCAATGTGAGAGCAACCTCTCAAAGTGAGGAGGACTCTTTCTGCGCAGTAAACAAGTGTCTAACATCTGTGTTCGAATTACCATGATTTGCATCCTCCAAATACTTTGTCGAAAAGGGGTGTGAGAGCCCTTGGGTTGGGGATTCAACCTTTTGGGAACAAAAATGAACAAAACAATGCTATAGGCAAAAGTAGTTGGAATGAAATTCAGGAAATTGAAAAGGATAGCATTACATTAACTGAAACAACAATGTTGAAGGAGTGGACACTGAGAATCAAGACCCTAATCCTGAGAGTTTTTGGAGTTTTTCAGCATAATGTAGGAACAACCTAAGTAAATACCTAGTAAAGATCACTCTCCTTGTGGGTGTGAATCACGCAATCCGAAGTTGGGTAAGAAACACAAGTCAAGACATATCCCTCTTCCATTTGGTTGTCATCGAGAAAAGACCCATCAGATTGATCCACAGAGCCTGTCACGGTCTTCCCCGCACAGGTAGAGCATGCCCCGGCCCTGCAAGAGTATGGCAGTTCAACTCCCGCGGCCTCAGCTGAATCCAGGATGTAAGTATCCGCAGGTGCATCAAACTCGTACTCGCCATCTGGACAAACCAGTTTAACCTTATATACCGCTGATGCAGTCACTCTGTAACGGTCAGCTTTCAAGCCAAATGATTTAGAGACCCTCTTTACGGAAGTAATGGATGATGGGCTCTTCACAAATGCACTCTTTGGTTGGGTAACAGGGGCACTTCTGAACATGCAGGTAGATGGAAGTCTTACAGTCGACATGGTTCACCTGAAAATATGTAGATGCCAATCAAACACGGATAACAATCAGAACGAATACTTTGGTCCAAGTAAAAATAGAAAGAGCTGAACATAATGCCGTGTTTTATGTCAATTATAAATGCCACACCTCAATTCTAAGTGGTATAAATGTTGCCCCTGAATTGTCAAAATGTGGCCATATGGTATTGCCCCTCCTAGCCTCCTGAGGGGCATAATATATGGGGCCAATATATGGCCACATTTTGACAATTTAGGGGCAACAAATCACTTAGAATTGAAGAATGACATTTATAATTGGCTTATACTTGGGCAGTATAAATTACAATTTTCTAAAAAATAAATGCTCAATTGACCAAAAATAATGAAGATTGACACTTTCCATTCTGCAATCTAAAGATTACAAGGAGCATAAGAAAAGCTTCCTCAACAGACCTTGCATTAAATTTGTTGTTTGTGTAAAACACACACGTATTTGAGATCAACCATACATATTCCACTATTCCATTTAGCAACCTTTAACACCGACTCTATAATTCTCCTTGTTCTGCAGTCCAAACACCTAATCCACTGCTAGCTGCCCACTATCACTTTGGAGTTCATCCAAAGCTCATAAACAGGCTAAAAACCCTTTCAAATATTCATCCGGGCATTAACAGTGCTAATGCATCGTGAATTCATGATAAGGTTTCATATTAAACATTCAAGTAAAGTTCCAATTACAGTTCCAAACCTCAGCCTATAAGATGGAAGTTTATGCAAAGACAGAAGTAGATGGACCATTCAAGCCTCCAACTACTTCCTATTTCCTTACCATCACTAGCTTAGCTCAAATGGTATCACTAAGGGTATGTTTTTACTCAATCTCTAGCCTATACTAAACCATTCCACCCTTATCAGAAAGAGCCATTACTGGTAAAATTAGACTCAAATCCTTTAGAGAGATATTCAGGAAAGTACCAAGACCTATACCAGAAAGAGCCATTAGGTGTATGGCTACCACAAGACAAAGCTACATACACCAATTCAAGTAGAAACTAAATAGCAACAAGTTCAATTTTAGAATAAATTTCCCAAGCAACATACTTCTCACTCCAAAACAATTCAATAATCCAAAGGCCAGTTTACATCTACACGATAGCAGATAAAAAAAGATGCACAAATCCACACGATTCAAATGGATCTCGAGCGTATCCGACCAGAAGAGTGAATAACAGAATCATGGTTGGCCTCAAAATCCAACCTTTAATCACAAATCACAAATTCCGCCTAAAATTACCGACGGATCAAACCGCAAAACAACAAAGTTCCAAGAAACCAAACCCAGGAATGACTACGAACCCAAAGGAAGAAGAAAAACAGCACCGCAAGATGCAGGACAGATTCATAAATAAATCAAATAAACCACTAGAAAATAGCATCGGTGCAGAATAGTAAAGAAAAACGTAAAATCTTACCTAAAAGTTGGATTTTCTTTGGGAATCTAAGGCCGGACTTCCGAGGGTAAAGTGAGGCGCGAGATGTGGAAAGACCTTTGATCAGTCCAAGAGAGAGATTTATAGAGAGTGGGTGAGTGAGTTATGGCTTTTGGGTTTTGTTGAGAGGCGACGAGTTCAGTGAGTGTTGGGTTACACCGTTCCGTTACCTGCCGCCCATAGATTGATAGATTTTTGTGAATTTTTCTCACTCCAAAAGTTAATATGTACTCAATTTTTTTTTTATCTAAAAAGTCAATTAAGTTCTTGAACTTTTTTAACCCAACGGGATAGTTCAAGTGACAAATGAGCTCTCTTTGTGGGGGAAAATTTCGGGATAACTCGGGTTCGATTCTCATAAGTGACGATTCCCTTTGGGCCAGCTTCTGCTCCTCTTGGAGCGAACCGGGTGAACCTGGACCGGACCACAGTGTGTGGTTGATACCAAAAAAAAAAAAAAAAAAGTTCTTGAACTTTAAAAAATTACAATTAAATTTATCAACATGTCATTTTCGTATATTAAAACTTACAATCGATTAGTGACCTGTAATAACATGTCAATAAGGACCTGCTAAACCCGGTGACTGACGACTCTGCCTTTGAAGAAGTCGACCAAAAGGTTGCTTTCTACAGTAGAGAAGGCGACCAATGTCGCCTTCTTTAAAGGCAAATCGGTGACCTCTGATTGTTGGGTTTAATTAATCCGAGTCTTGTCAGAACCTAGTAATCTGTTATTACAAGTAATATAATAGAGAATTGTTGTACAGAAAATCTCAAAAGTGGAACAAATACAATAATCGAGAATTAAAAAAAGATCAATTTTAAAGTCGAGAATTGAATTTAAAAACAAAAATCAGTGTAGCAGAAAAATCAAAAGTGGGACTAATCCAACATGCAATATAATTACGAAATAAGTTACCTAATCTATATTTTATTGGATTGGAGGAGAGAAAAGTACATTAACAAATCATTACTATTTTTATGTTATAAAAATTCAGAATGGGTTACACATCAAAATCAAAGCACAAGTAAAACAGCATGACCCAGTTAGCAGAGTTCAAGTTTATTATGTCTTTGAACCATTTTTAGTATTATTATAATAAAATTAGTATATGTGAAAAAATTAAACTAAAAAACAGAGCTTATGCTTTCGTGTTTTTCATGTACAAGGTACAACAGAAGAGTGTTGGACAAAACAACGTAATTACTAAGGGGATGTTTGGTTCATGGAAAATGTTTTTCAAAAGAAAACATTTTTCTTAGAGTGAAGGAAAATGGTATTTTCTAGTGTTTGGTTCATGGAATTCATTTTTTATTGGAAAATGAATTCCTCAAATTTAAGGAAAACAAAATCCTTGATTGGACTAAGAATTTTGTTTTCCATGGAAGATGGGAAGAAAAAGTGAATAGATTGCCTATTTTACCCTTACTTTCTTTTTTAATTATATTACTTTTATTAATTTGTAGGGGCATATAGGTCTTTATACCCATTATTTCTTACAATTCCAAATCTAATCAAACAATAGAATTGATATTCCCAGTAATTCTTTTTCCACCAATGAAATTCATTTTCCTAGTAATTGTTTTTCCATAGAATTTCAATTCCACTTCCCTTAAAATATTTTTCGCGAACCAAACGAGCCCTAATATTGGTCAAAGGGCATCTCGTTTTTGGGCACGTAAATGATGATTATTTGGCGGATTAGCAAGTGGAAGAATTGTTTAATCTGCAAGTGGGAGCAGCCACTGTCACGTCATTATTTTAACAAACTAAATTAATGCCTTTTAATTTTCCCTTTCATTCTTATAAAATTATTGTTCATTATTTTTATGATGTTTCAATAAGATTAATTCTACATATACTCTCATTTTTTATTTATTATAATGTAGCACATTTTGATTGCTTAATGTAATTTAAATTTTCACTTTATTTTTTTTTATCAAATTATAATTCTTTTCTCATCTAATTCTCTCATCTCAACTAAGCCCCTGAGGGTAAAAGTAGTATCTTTGGTTTCAATAAAAATGGTTGGTAGTTTCACTAGTTTGTATGGAGTGGAATATCACAGGTTGGCGTCCTTGTTGAAACAAGGAGAAAGAGACTCGCACTGAAATGCCAGAGGCTGGCTGTAACTTTCACTGGTTTGATGATGTATTCTTTTTTTGTTAATAAATGTGTTAAATAAGTCAAACAAATTTATGTAATTAGGTCACTAAACATAAAAAGTGTTTTTATGGAATCATCAAATAAGAAAAATATATGCAACTGTGATAATTTTTTATTTCTTTTAATAATGTAATTTGAGTTTAAAACATTTTAATATTTACTTTAGGGGTGTGCGAACTTCGGATAATTTTCGGTTAACCGACGGAACTGATAAAGTTCGGTTAACCGTTTCCGAATCGAACTTTTTCAGTTCGGTAATGGTTAAAGAAATTTTAAAACTTCGGTTAACGGTTAATTTGGTTCGAAAGGTCGGTTAACCGAATTAACCGAAGTTGTTAATATATATATATATATATATATATATATATATATATATATATATATATATATATATATATATATATATATATATATATAAATACTTTAATTAATGTTTTTGTATATTTTGTTATGAATTTATTATGATATGTATTTTATTTTAATTGGATTTATTATTTTAGGTGTTATTTTTAGAATTTTAAATTTTAGCTTTAAAAAGTACGGTTATTCAGTTAACTGAAAAAAAAGTTGGTTTGGTGAATTCGGTAAAGCAAACTTCGGTTCGGTTAACGGTTAAAAGAAAAAAAATTTCGATTAATTCGGTTCGGTTAACCGATTGAACACCCCTAATTTACTCCAGACTAGTATGATAGGGGTAAGAGCAACTCTCAATAGTCAATACATACCATGTAGTCAATATAATCATATTGTACTGGAAAAAAAATTGATAAAAAGATTAAAATTACACATTTTTTATTTGTTTGATAGTCCAGTTACACACCTTTTAAATTTAGTGATCCAATTGCACAAAAATAAAAAGTTCAATAGCTTATTTAACACATTTTAATTTCCTTATTTGTTTAATCATTTTGGTTGCTTATACCTAAGGCCTAAGGGTGAGAAATTTTGGTTGCTTCAACTGATTTTTCTTTTAGTTGATTATCGATTATTAAATAAAAATTTTAGTTATTTCAATTTTTTGATATGTTATGACTATCTCAATAGTTAAGAATTCAATAGGCATTCAAACATAGAATTAATGTCAAATGGGGTCCTCCTAATATAGTTATTTTGTCACGTTTAGTTCTAAACTTTTAAATTGACTATTTGTGTTCCTTTAACTTTCAAATTTAACAATTCGTGGTCCAAGTTAACGACACATGATCCTTCAACTTTCGAAATTTAATGGCAACAATTTGAAAGTCAAAGGAACATGAGTATACAATTTGAAAGTATAGAACTAAACGTGGTAAAACCACTATATTAAGAAGATATCATATGGTATTAACTCTTCAAACATATATAGAGATGTGCAATAATTGGTTATAAAGTTAAAAAAAAAAAATCATTTTTTGGTTAATTATGACTATGTTAATTTTTTTTTTTTTCAATTATTAACTACAAACTACTCGAACTGAACATTGTACACCCCTCTATATAGTGGGTTTTAAAATTGAGAGAGTAATCAAAGTGACACTTAAAAGATCATTTTGATGATGTGTAATTACAAAATGTTTAATTATAGAAATCTAGTGATTTTATTTTTTTATCATCATGAATCGTAACAAAAAGAATTATTTGATTTACGGAAAATGTTCAATCACTATGCGAATGTGGACTTTTGGTGAGGTCTGTCTTGTGACTTTAGCTAGTAAAGGAGCACAAGGAGGTAAACAATCTAAATTGTCTATAGATACCGACTCAAACAAAGAAGGTCAATAAGTTACTCCTACTAAATCAAACTTAAAATATTGTGATTATCATATTAAGAATTCAACCAATTGTCCGTTGTATTTGTCCAAAAAAAAAAGAAGAATAATTGTTCATGTGGAACGTGAAGTGCCTTATAAGTTGATGAATTATTTAGTGTTACGTTCTTAATTGGTAGCTAGTGGCTACTACCAAAGATAGATCCAAAATTATTTAGTTTATTATTACCCCAAAAACAAGTTGTCAACTTAGTCAAAACTCATATGGTTGTCCACTCCCACAGTCCCACGCTCCCACTCCTTTTAAAAGCCAAATGATCCTTCAGGTTGTCTAGGAGCCCAAACCAAACAATATAATGTATCATCTTAATCATTTAGTCTATGGAGAAGTATCGCCATTTAATAATTTACTAATACCATCTCCAATCAACACTGAAAAATGACATATCAGCAAAAAAAATTGATACAAATTGCCTCCAATGAACACACGCCAAAACAACAAAAGTTTTGCTATATATAGGTGAACTATACTACTGTTAATGAACGGCAAAATTTTGATAATCTTTTTTCACTGTTTTAATATATTTACATATTTTGTGAAATATTTAAACATAAATTATATCACTTAAATTGAAAGATCTCATCAAAAAGATTAAAACAAGACTAATATTAATTATTGATGTCTTTTTTTTTTTTTTTTTTTTTTTTTTTAAAAAAAATCTTGCAACTGCTACAACTTAGTAAAGAGCCCACCAAAAGAAAAACTTAGAAAAAAAAAAACCCTCAATCATTAGAATTGCTCTTAAAAGACATATTGGGAGGCTTTGTTTGTATCCATCAAGATTAGAGAAGATTGGTCTACCAAATCAATCCTAAGATGGCTCACATTATGGTCAAACTGTCCCCCTTGCATGGTGTATTTAAACTTTGTTGGATACAAAGAAAAAAGAAAATAGGTAAACCACAAAAATTAAATATATTTAGGTCAAAATACTAAGAAAAATAAGTAACTTCCCACCTTCAAAGGATGCTCAAATATCCTAATTCTAAGAATAGAGAAATCACGACAGTATCACAGTTTTACTACTAGCTCTAAGTTATACGATAACAGCAAATAGTATCGTAAGTAAACAGTATTAGCGATACCTTAATTGTGCATAGGGAGGGATGTTTGGAACACTGGGCTTCATCGTGGAGGTTGTTAGACATGAGTGGAATCCATTGCTTCATCCTTGAAATTAAGATGCATTTGCCAAATGATCTGATCATTATTGCCGATTTTGACCTCCACCAACTCTCATTCATATCTCACCTTCCCTACATTTTTCTCCTTAGCTTGTTATTGACAGCCAGCCATGAACCATAGCTGTACTGTTGATATTCTGTGAGAGGTCCAAAATAAATGCTGCCTGCTATCTTAGCATTTTGTCCCACATATATATATATATATATATATATACTCCGTATTTCTTATGGCTGTTGGAATTTCCTTCAAGCGACGTCGTTTGCTTCTCAATAACGGGCTCCTTAATTTGCTAAACGACGTCGTGTTTCGTTCTCAGGAATGGTCTTGACAGGATTTTACCCAGCCAAATTCATATTTAATTTATATTTATGAAATTAATTTACTCCATTATAAATAAATCAAATAAAACACATCATTTGATTAAAAAAAAAGTTTGGTACAATCATTTGGTTAAAATTATATTTTATTGAAGGCGGCAGTATGTAGTTCAAATTATACAAATGGGAAAAAAATTCATTGAATCCCTTATAGTATGACTGGTGAGTTGATTGTGCAACTCTTCTGCAGTGACTCTAAGAACAGGGTCCTGACCTCCTGGGGCAAAGTTGAAATCACTTAAGTATTAAAAAAAAATCTTTTATCAAAATAATTAGTAATTAGAGTTATGTGATAAAGTTGACATACAAATTGTTTACTTCGATCTAGAGCATAGGTTTGGAGTTTGAAATTTTAAAACCCATATCAATATCTAAGATCATTTGGAATCAATTTTCGGATCAAATGCCAGAATTGTTGTAAAGCTCTTCTCTTTCCATTCTGAGCTCTTGAAACAGTTGGAATCACTGCCTGCTACTCTTGTATCAGTTCAGTTCCCAGAAATCATATTTGAAACACAAGAAGAATGAATAAATATAAGTTAATTGCCCAAGTTTGGCATGTACAATGGAGAATCTTCCCCAAGCAAAAGTGATCTCAAGATTGTGGGCTGACATGAGAGAGGTCCATAATAGACACCATTATGGAACCACGGTTGGTTGTAGATTGTTGATTGTTCCAGGGAGGAAAGGAACTACGTTGAGTGATATTAGCAGTAGCTAATAGAGCCTGGCGGGCATCATCAGCATCCTTTAATTGGTGTTCATGATATGTGAGAACATCATATAACTCTCCCAAGGAAATGGGAGTTTCACGGATACGAACAACATATATGATAGAACTGATGTATTCTTCCCCTAGTTGTGTTAATATGTAAACAACCACGTCCCCATTATAGTCAATGTAGGATCATCAGCTATGGACCGCATGTCATTCAGATAGGCGGTAATCGATCGAGTACCCCTCGGATTTTTGGTGAGCTTAGCCTTGAGGTAAATGATTCGTCCTCGAGAGGCACTAGCATAACTAGCAACTAGTCGTTGCCTAAGATATGAAGGGTTTGATTGTATCAGAACAACGCCTTAGAAGAGCACTAATGATTATTTGGTCTTGACGATACCAAATTAAATGACCCGAGTTTGTGATGGTTTGAGCAGGATCAGTAAACTTGACCGGTTCTTTGATAGAACCATCAATATAGCCAAGGAGATTAAAGCCAATAAGAGTATATTGGACTTGGCGTCTCAAGACAGGGAAATTTGTAGTAGTGAGTTTGATGTAGCAATAAGTTGGATAATTTCGTTAATGGTCGCAAGAGCAACAACACCAGATAACGAAGGAGTAGAAGCCATTGATAAAGGGGAGTGGCAAAAAGGAAAGGAGAAGAAAAATAAAAACTTTCTTAGGAGATTCTGACTCTTGATACCATGTAAGGTTATGGAGTAAAACTATGTTATTTATTAATGAAAACAAACAAACAATAAATAGTGTACAGGGGAGGAGAAGTAGCAGTAAGTTACAACTATGGCGAGTCTACATGAACATATTTAGACTAGATAAATAAATACAAATAGTCTCAACCACATATATGCTTAATAATGTGATCAAGTTGACATACAAATTGTTTACTTCTAGAGCATAGGTTTGGAGTTTGAAATTTTGAAACCCATATCAATATCTAAGATCATTTGGAATCAATTTTTGGATCAAATGCCAGAATTGGATGAGTTACCAATGTTCAAAAGCTCTTCTCTTTCCATTCTGAGCTCTTGAAACAGTTGGAATCACTGCCTGCTACACTTGTATCAGTTCAAGTCCCAGAAATCAATTTTGAAATTAAACACAAGAAGAATGAATAAATATGAGTTAATTGCCCAAGTTTGGCATGTACAATGGAGAATCTTCACCAAGCAAAAGAGATCTCAAGATTGCTTCACATACTGCATTATCATACACCAGCAAATGCCCTCCCTGTGGAACTTCATGATACCGAATCCATGGCAGCCTTTTCCACACATATCTTTGTAATTCTACTGGCACAACCTTGTCCTTGTAACCTTGCCAGAGATGAACCGAGCACTCGCTCTGAGGCTGTGGGTTACTCAGCTCTAGGGGATCGAAATCCCACTTGCTAAACGCCACTATACCGTCCTGGCAAAGCGAGTCAAACACGCCTCGATCCCTCAATCCATCCTATAAGAGGAAGTAAAAGATCATTACTCTTACGATCCTATAGCTAGAAACGAAGGCGCAACTTTATTTCCTTATACCGCCATATTTTCAAGAGGCAGGGTGCTGGACTCTGCCCAACAATCCCCCCTAGCCACCTGGTGCTGAACTTGGCCCTTCACCCAACAAAGTTGTTGGTGTGTATGTGTGTATGTGTGCGTGCGTTTTTCTTTTTCCTTTTACCCTTTTCACCGAGAAATGCAAGTTACCTGAGTGAACAATTGATATCCCTGTGTATTCTTCAAGACATCCAAGTCTTTGTCGCAAAAAAAGGCAGGGTTTTTATCAAGAACGGTGGCCGAAGGGAATAAATTCTGCGTCAACCACCAGTGTAACAATCCCGGAGTGTACCGCGTTACCCACATTCCCCACTGGCATAGTTGTTTCCGGTAATCATCCTTTATCAAAGCATCTGGAAGCGATTGCCATTTGTAATTGATGAACGGGACAACTAGCGCTACACCTGCAAGCCTGCAGGCTCACATTACAGAAGGTGAAACGGGATTCAGAAATGCAAAGAAGCTAAAGATCTTTAAGTTAGTAGTTCGACCTGTTTGGGATGCGCTTGAGGCAACTCCAGGCCGGGTAGCATCCTAGCGAGACGCCTATTACATAGTACTTCAATCCTAACTCCATCAGATCAGCTAGCTCTTCGATATCAGAACCTTCGCTCTTTAACGAGCGTTTTGGATTTGGATCACTCTCTCCATACCCCGCTCGATCATATATCAAGACATATACCCCCAATTCCTCAAGCAATTCCTGGGAAACTAACACAATATCAGTACATTCCCTGTGAAGAAGCTGCACAAACCAATCAGTGGAACCCTAACAGTAACACAACTGAAAAAAGAAACACAAAATTCCTACAATAACTAGTAGAATCAGAAACAAAATGCATCAGTTAATATGCCAAAGTGCAAACATTAGTAAATACATTGCTAATTACACTACTTTTTTCTTGCTTCCAGGCTAATTACTATGATTTGCAATTTGGGTAGTACCAGATAAAGATTTAGGAGAACTGCATCACTTTTTTCAGATCAGATCAATTAATATAATTACCAGTTTATATTCCTCAAATATGAAATCCCAACACTCAAATATAAAACCCTTTACCCCCCTTATACTAAAATCAGAAATTAACCTAAAAATTCCAAGAAAGACTAATCAGAATCAAAAGTTTGGAAGTAGAGAGAGAGAGGGGGGAGTTTATGAGTGAAGTACATCAGAAGCCATAAAGCTCATTTCTTTGGAGCTGCCAAAGCCATGGACTATAATGATTCTGTAATTGGATTTGTTCTTGGGCACCCCTCTTTCTCTGTAAGCCAGGCACCTCCCATCACTGAGTCGAACCCTGGGCGAAGTGTCAACAGATTGGTCGTCCACCACAAGCGCCGCCGCATTGGGCTCTAATTTCTCAGTCAAAGAGGGCTCTGCCACCTGATCACCAAAGCCGAAGCAACTCGTAATCAGAACAAGAATGCTCCTGAAAACCATTCTCTGAAAACAAAACAGGCATCAAGATTCAAGCCAATGGTCTGCGCAGAAATCACAAGCAATTCAAAGGGATTCTTATTGGGCGTGAAGATGACAGATTGGCAGAAGAGGCTATACGAGCCTTTGACCTATAGTGACGCAACTTGAATTGCAGACAACTGTGTTTTTGGTAATTGAGTTTGTTTCGCACGCGAACACATGGTGTTTCCCACACAGATAATTAATCACATTTTTTTTAAATCACAACTTGAAAATGTGATTTGCAGTCTAATTTACTTTTTATTTATTTATTTTTTAATGCTAGTAGCTCTATTACATTTCTCCACTGAGACTCGAACTCATAATCTTTCAAATGGAAGTCCAACCCAAGTACCATTAGACCATATAATCCTGGTGCAGTCTAATTTACTTAATTTGCTATTATTAAAGCACTAAAAATTATTTGTATAATAACTGTATTAGTATATTCATTGACTTAAAATATTGTTAATTGGATTAGTTATTCTTCAATTAAAAAAAAGTAAATATATAAATAAAAGGGTTGGTAATAATCTATTAATATAGTACCAAATTAAGTAAAAGTGCTATATTAAGTACAAATATTTATATATAAAGGCTATTATCTTATGAGCTGGCATATCTTTTTTAAATGTGAATGCAATTATATGATTCCTTCTTGTTTTCTTGGAAAATTATCATCCAGGGAGGCTGCTCAGATAACGTGAAGCATAGATTTTGTTATCTACCTCTCTTAAGGAAGCTATTGATTTTGAAAAAATTGTGAAATTGGATAAGTGTAACTAATATGAACTTAAACTATGTGCAATTGAATCATGAAACAAACAAAGTATATACAATTAGAATATTTTTCTAATTTCTTTCATTGTGATTAGGACATTTCAATCTTTCCTCCTAAGAATATGCCAGCATGAAAGAATCATAGACATGTTTTATACTTCAACGAATATTCTTTGGGATATTATTTTCTCAGCAATTTATATCATGGACCCACATAGCATTATGAACCCTGAATCAAAACGACTAGATACAAAATTCATACTTGTAAGTTACAAAATTTCATAATACAAGACACAAAAAATCACAACACAAGACACATACACATGTTATATATTTATTTATTTTTTGAATCTGATTTAGGTATATAATTTGTGTTCATAAGCACAGAATTTTACAACACAAGACACATAACGCAAGACACAATTACTAATTTATTTCAGGTATAAAATTCATATTCTTAATGTACAAAATTTCATAACACAAAATAAGACACATACACATGTGCCAGGTCCACAATGCACTGTACCCTGGTCCATGGTATAAAGATTGTCATTTTCTAAGAGGGAACATTTGGGTACGAAGTGGTGTGATACTGTGATCGATCTGCCTTTTTCAAAGCTCTAAATTATTGCCTCAAATAATTAATTTATTTTATTTTAATAAAATTACTGGAATTTACAGGGCATTTGGTTGAAGGGAATTTAAATTCCCTTTCCACTTAATTTCTACCTAATTTCAAAAGCCACAAAAATCTTTTGTTTGGTTGAAGGGAATTGTAATTCTATGGAATTGCAATTTACCCATTTTCATGGAATTAAAATCCCATGTCTCCCCCTGAAATTTTAATTCCTGGAATTTTAGGAAGAAAAAAAGATAGTGATTAGTCAAAATTACCCCTTTCTTTTTTAACATAAAATTAAGGGAAAATGACACTTTTTCCCCCTTTGTTATATACTTATAGAACTTTTTTCCCCTAAATTATTTAAGTGGCAGTTTTTCCCCCTGATATATTAAATGGACATATTTACCCTTAAAATAAATATTTCATTTATTTTTCTTCTCCAACAAATTATAACCACGATTTGAAAAAATAAAATACATTAAGTGTTGAGTTTAGAATATTTTAAAAATAAAAAAATAAAATTTTAAAAGAAAGTTTGAACCAACCGTTCAAATTGGATCCAAAATCGTGAACCGACGGTTCAAAATAAAACTCAAACCGCGATTATATATACTTATATGTGAGAGTCAATATAAATGCGGAAAAAAAACATACACTATTTACAAATATTATAATTCTAATTTAAGCTATTGCTAGTAGTTGTTCCGATTTGAACCTCCGGTTCACGGTTCAGGATCCATTTTTTTCCAGTTCACGATTTTAATAAACGGAAACCCAAATATTGGGTTATGTTATGAATCATAACTGAAATTTTTTAATTTGATTGCTATAGTGTTTGGTTCAGTTCGAACCGAACCGTGGTCATCCCTACGTATAAGCAATAATTTGTTGAAGAAGAGAAATAAATAAAATATTTGTTTTAAGGGTAGAAATGTCCATTTAATATTATCGGGGAGAAAAACCGCCACTTCTATAATAATTGAGGGGGCAAATGTGAATGCATGAATAACTCAATGGGAAAAAGTGCTATAAGCATATAACACAGGGGAAAAAGTGTCATTTTCCCTAAAATTAATGTCTAACAACCACCCTGGATATTTTTTATTTTATACTACTTATTTCCTTTCAATTCCCATGTATACCATACAGTGAAATTGAAATTTTCAGTAATTATATTCCTGTAAACTAAACACTCTGAAATTTAAATTTCCACTTTATTTCTAGTAATTTATCTCCCTGGAATTGCAATATCTTTTCCACGTAATTCCCTCTCTCCAACCAAACTCCCTGATAAAGAAAAGTATACCTGAAGTGCAAGAAAGTTGAAATCTTTGGAGCTGCGAAACATATTTACCACATTCCCTTTAGACTTGGACTCATCTTTAGCCAAACATCTTTCTGTGCATGCTTGATATCGTCCATCCGCTGCCCTGATCTTACTTGCCGAACAACTCGCCGCCAGCTTTCGCCGGAAATTCTTCAGAGCACCGGAAATTGACATCACAATGGTCTATGCAAAACAAAAATTGACTCTCTAAACTTTCAATGCAAAACAACCCTCAAGAGTTCTACTCTTCTCTACAGCCAAAACACAACATAATATAAATCCTCAGCTCAAAGAATTCGAATATTCTTGTTTTATGTTCCGTGTATTAAGGTTCTTAGTTCTTACGGCATAGCAATATCTAATTTCACAATATAATTAGGAATAAAGGTCAAATACACAATCGAACTGCACAGATAATGCAATTAGGTCTCGAAACTCAAAAAAATTACAATTGAGCCCCTGAACTAATCCATTTCAAATAATTTGTCAAATTTACAGATTTTCCCAATTTCTAACAGGTCACTTAATTTAAAATATTTATAAAAAAAATTAATTAAAAAAAAAAACTTTTATCTCCGGCCTGGAGACGAACAAGGTCTCCTCGTCTCCGACCGGAGACGAAGATATGTTCTTCGTCTCCGGCGAGAGACGATGTTTTTTTTTTTTTCCATAATAATTTTAGTTTATTTTAATTAATTTTTTAAAAAAATTATTTTTTAAAATATATTTTAAATTGGGTGACCTGTTAGAAATGAGGAAAACTTGTAAATTTGACAAATTGCTTGAAATAAGTTAATTTAGAGACTCAATTGTAGCTTTTTTTGAGTTTAGTGGCCTAATTGCATTATTATGTGCGATTCGATGACCTATTATTATTATTATTATTATTATTATTATTATTATTATTATTATTATTATTATTATTAATCCAGGCCGGTTTTCAACTTTGTCAAACTCTAATCCTATACGAATTGATTTTAAACCCATGAAGAGATAAATCCTGTCAATTTAACTTCAAAACTTCAAGACTAAATTATACACTTTTACACACAAAGAGTCTAACTCAAACCTAACACTCAAATATTCAATCGTTATATAGTGGACCCTGATCCTGTACGACGTCGTTTTGAACTTTAATTTTAACGGAGACTATTTATTTTCCAGTTCGCGTTACAATTTTTTTTTTATAAAGCGTGTTTCTGTGCATTATGTTATGATTTTTTTTTTTTTTTTGTTTTTGTTTTTTTTTTTTTGTTTTTGTTTTTTTGTTTTTTGCATCATATGGAATGGGAACACCCAAGCTAAACAATTAAGACACCATTTGGCGCCAAACCGAGATGACATGTTGGTCATCTTCTAGAATCTTCAGTAGATAAAATGAAATTTAAATTTCATGAAAAAAAAATAAAGACACATTTTATATTCTATTATTTGATCCGTACAAAAAAATCGAGAATTAAAAACGTTCCTGCCTCCTATCAATTAATTTTAACAAACGCTACTAGCTCTATTACACTGTAGTATCTGTCCATATACTTTCTCAACCTACTGAAACACAAAGAGCCAATAACACCTCTACGGAGGCTCGAACTTACAACCTTCCAAATGGAAGTCCAATCCGGATACCATTAGACCACATAGTTCTGGTTACAAACCTAACCCTTTAATTCTTCATAATGTAGCACATTTGGTCCCTCATGTTATACAATTACAATTGTTTTTAATAATTTATATAATTTATTTATTCAAAATTAAAAATATTTTTATTATAAATAAATACATAAATTAAAAAAAAAAAAAAAGAACCGCCACCGACTGTCTGCGCCGGATAACTGGTGGCTGTCTTCTTCACGGAGACGGCCATGGCGTACGAAGGAAGATAGCCATGACCGTCTAGATCTGGAACGAGGGCTATAGTCATGGCCGCCGCCCTCGTTCCAGACGGAGGGGACTCGAACGAGGGCGACGGCGAAAACCGTAGCCCTCGTTCCAGATCTAGAAGACGGCCATGACTGTCTTCCCTCGTCGGTCATGGCCGTCTTCCTTAGACGGTGGTGGCCGTTCTGCCGGACAGCCACAGCTGTCTGTGAAGAAGACAACCACTGCTGTCCGGCGTGGATAGCCAGTGGCGGGGTTTTTTTTTTTTTTTTTTTTTTTTTTTTTTTTTTAAATTTATGTATTTATTTATAATAAAAAATATTTTTAATTTTGAATAAATAAATTATATAAATTATTAACAACAATTCTAATTATATAACATGAGGGATCAAATGTGCTACATTATGAACAATTAAAGAGTTAGGTTTGTTCAAATCAATTGATAAGGGCTAAATTTTCAAAAGAAAAATAATTGAGGGATCAAAATAATCGTTTTCCCTATAATTAATATAAAACATCTACATATGTATGTGACTATGTGAGGATAATACTATCTTATTATCCTTACTTTTCTTCCCAAATAATAATGACAAAAAAAAATGGCAAATTTAAGATAAGGTGCAGTAAAATTTTAGAACTCATTTAGTGCTGAGCTAGATGAGAGAACCTAACCCTTGTTGTAATGTTGTTGTTTGTGCCCGTTGGCCTATAGCTCATAACCGGTGAGTTTCAGGATTGAATCAACAATAAGAAGTAATAGACAAAGAGAAGGGAGTGATATGATTTCATTTCCATGGCTTCCTCTTACAAAAGGATTACACATATATAATATAGAATAATAATGGCATACATAATGAGACATTAATATGTCTGTTACAAACGTTACAAAATAATGGCCACCATTAATATTTAATTACAACACTCCCCCTTGGACATTATTTGTCCATAATCTTGCCTCGTTAAAAACTTGCTAGGAAAACCCTGTGGGAAAAACCTATACAAGAAAAGAGTACAAGGTATAGTATATTTAAATATATTCATGCCTCGTTAAAAACTTCACTAGGAAAACCACATGGGAAAAACCTAGTTTGAAGAAAAGAGTACATGCATGATATTTGTAAACTCATATATTGTACTGATTGCCTCGTTAAAAACCTTAACTTAAGAAAACCTCGTGGGAAAAGCTTAGTTAAGGGAAAAAAAGAGCACAATTATAAGCCTTCAAGGCATAATCTTCAGGATATTTGGGGTTTGTTTACTTAAGTCTTTATATACAACTTCCCCATTAATATATCATACTCATACCTCATTAAAAAAAAAAACCACATGGTATGTATATGCTGCAAAAGGTATAACTATTAGTCATTTTAAAACCCAATCTACGGGATTGACTCGAGTGAATGTACTTCCTGTCTCCCCCTGAAGATAACAATCTTCAAATTCTACATTGCCTGTAAAATCATTGTTTCTAAAGGGTGTAGAGAAGGGATATGGTACAATTTTCAAGATTGTCATTAGAATTTATCATATTTTCTCATGATCATCTGGACCAATAAAATTATTTATAGTTTATAGTTTGTTGCTCCCCCTAAATATAATAATTTTTCTTTACCTACACATATCAATCTTATGGATATTTTGTAGGTATACATTTGCTAACTTGTCACTGGAGCAAACCTTCTGTACAAATATTTTATCACTCTTCTGGAGTTCATGTGGATCAAGGTATTTTATATCATGAAAAACTATATACATTTTTATCTGTAACAAGTATGATGACTTCATGCCAAAAAGCATCAATACGAGTATTTTTACCTTGATTTTGCTATTCGTTATCTTATCTCATAACTTAACATCATCAACCTCTTTATATATTTCATTGATGTTTACACCATAAATATTGACTGAGATAATAAATAAGTCCATTATCAACTCTTTATTGAGCACATAATGGTACATATTATTCCTTCTATATGAGGATAATAACCCCATTCGCAACTCTCTAAAAAGTAAATAATGGCACTTAAATAAATCCTCATTTCGGGAATTATAAATCCATTAGGGATTTTCAAGATAAACTAGAGGATATATTTAGGATATTTTCAAGAGGAAACAATATTTGAGTTTCCCAATCACATATAACATTACTAGGCATGTTTATGATAATATATTTTCATACTTTGTTATGGGGGAGAAAATACATTTAAAAGATCATAGTTAGTAACTTACTAACTTTTATACTTCTTATTTTGTGATTTTCATTCATCACATTTTGAGAAAATCCATCAAGGATTTTAAATATAAGTAACAAGTTACCCATATAAATATGTGATAACTATAACTATTAGCTACATATCTAATTTATTTACTGCTAGTTTTATTGAATAGCGGAATATAAAGCCATGACTAATATTGGGTCTCTGCGAAAACCCTCCACTCGCCTTTTATTAGCGAATTCTGATTTGTATGCCTTAATTGCTATTTTCTATGAAAACAGTTAGCACGCTGCAGGCGTTATACTACTATTTTCATTTCTGGATCCAGACTTAAGTATTTATGAGCAATAGAGGCAAAATATGTTGTCGACAACTGTAACAGCTTTGTAGATATCTTTTATACACATGGCAATTTTGTATCAACCAAATATATGGCATTTCCCAAGATTATTTGAATTTGGTTGTTCCGCTTCCCCAGTATTTTAGTTGTTTGGTGCACTGCACCTACAATTTTACTGGGGGTTTTCGCCTTCTAGACGAATATCTTCAGGATAAAATTTATATATTTCTGGAGTGATGAAATTTCTATACTAGATCTAGTTTTGTAAATTCTTAAACCAATATATGCTTCCTGCATAATGGTAGAAATATTTAGTCCTAGTTGGGGATTTCAACTCTTAATATATATGAAATATTTTTTATGGACTTAGTCACTCTTTGAGATTTCTAGCAGATAATTTGTTCAATGTCTGAACTTCTGGTTCTATAAGGCTAGTACATGGGTTTGAAGATTTTTATCAATTTCTCGGCATTTAATTAATTAGAAATTTCAAATCTCCCCCTAATGCCGAGAAAAGATCTTATAATGCAACCAACATCACTGTTGATTTCTCATGATGGGATATAGCTAGAAGGGTTGCATACTAAAAAAAATTAACGCAGATAGGGAAATGCATCTTGTACTAGCGTATGCGATATGTAGTGGATCAGCATATTGGTTTTTCAATTTTGAAGGTCCCCAACAAAATATTTCCTCCAAAATTGCTTAATTTGCTTTCCGGACAAAGTTGTATTAAGATTTTGATTATAAAAAATGATATTGTCTATCTTAAATAATTGTTTCATGACATTGAGAGAAACAAGTAGAGTA